TAAAATCAAGTACAGTCCCAGTAATGCTTTTTTGCCTTTTCAGGTCGAAAATTTCGCTCATGGAGTCGACTTGGATCTCGTCTAGGATGTCAATGGGGTCGACAGCTTGTAATGCAGTAATCAAGCAGGCGAATGCTTTGACTGCTTCGGGGTTGCAAACCACAGCAATGCCGGTGGGCAGCTCTATCATAAAGCTAACATGCGTTGAGTCTTCATCTACTCTGTCATGCGCGATATCTCCTAAGCTAAATTGAGTTTCCTTGGAGTCAAGGTTTTCTGTATCTGCCGACATCGGGGGAAGATCCTTACTGTCAGGCTCTACGCCTTCTAGGGGAAAATAGGGAGCTATATACGAGCTTGAGAATGTCACACTCGAAGGCGGCATACCTCTGCTGTGGTCGCCCACAGCGCTGTAGAAGGAGGATCGATGATCGGTCGAGGCCGAAATATCCCTTAATGGTGTCCGGAGATCAGCACTGGGATTAATCTGTACGCTCCTTGATCGCGAATCGGGTTGGACTTGTTCCCTGGATCTCCAAGAACTCCGAGGCCGGATTATGCTGCTATTGCTCTTTTGACCGGAACTCCGTATGGATAAAAATGAACTTTTACGTGAGACAACGCGATTTCCCAGAAGCCGAGACGACTTTCGCGAGGCTAGAGAGCGATTCTCCTGATGTGCTACCTCATCAACTGATACAGGGATAGGTAGTGGAGGGACAGACATGGCCGGAGGATCTACGGGTTCGAGCATCGAATCATCAAGCAAGTTGGGATACAACAAGAAATCGGCCCTATGTGTGCGTTGATCGTGACGTTTGACATGTTCTTGTTGCAATTGTCGGTCCTTTTCAAATCCCAGTTTCCTCTGTATCATGGCAACAGATAATGTTGTTTGTAAAAGAGCATGAGTTTCAACTGGATGTTGAGCCCGTGATCTATGCCGTGATGCGGATTCTGCATCGACGCACCCAACCTTAAGATCAGGAATCAGAAGTTTCAGTTTCTTCGAGTAATGTGAGCCAGCCCAATCGTTAAAATTCACAGATATAGTCCCTGAAGACAGAAGAAATGCAGCGTCCTCAACATGAAGCCACAACCGAATAGACTCTACTGAAGCACGCAGGAAGGTGATATCGTGCAATGTTATCTCTGAAATTGACGGTAGGGCGTTTTCGTCATCATCAAATGAGAAAGCAAAGGCTCTGGCACCATTCGAAAGTCGTCCAAAGAAGTCAGTGGTGCACTCGCCTGTCACGGCGCCCACTGCAAAGTCCCAATTGCAAATGTAAGTAGGCTCGGTTGGTGGCAAACCAAAGAGTCTGTTTCCGTTTGCGTGGACTCCATCTATGAATAGCTGTGTTCCGGATGTTGCGCTGATTGGTGTTGCGCTCCCATCCTGCTCGCTACCAAGAGAGAAGGCCAAGGTGCTTAAGACGACGTCCAGATCCATGTAGTAATTGGTGAACCTCAAGTCGGCAGCGAGAGTAGCGATGTCGATGCGAACGTGTTCTTTTGCGGTGTATAGGTTGGCAGGAAGAATTACACTCGACTCGTCGGCAGTGACTGCGATAATGACGTCTAGATCGTTGGACTTTTTGTTTGGTGGGTGGTTTGAACTATCATCACTCCCTTCTCGTCTTGCTCGAAGAACATCTTGGTACTCCTCGAGTGTTTTGAAACGAATATCATCACCAAAATAATTATCCTTAATTTTAAGGAAGTATCGAATAACAAAGCCGTAGAATTGAGCGATAGGAGCGTAGCCATGGACATTAAGCAATAGCGTATCCGTATTGCTCGTCGATGTAGTGGCACAGTATTGGTATTTGCCGTTGATCTTCAGTTCCTTCAAGGTGGCTAACTCTGTAGAGTTCAAAAATGTGGCTTGGGTGTTCCACGGGGGAACATGGAGATTGAGTCCGCCATGCTTCACATCAACATCAAACGGCACGTCGTTTCGATATGGGCGATAGTTATGGAGAGGAACACATTGCTTCGCATTGAGAACAGAGCCATAAATGACGATGAATGTATTGTCATCAAAATCTGATGGGTTGTTGATGATGTTTGAGTCATTGACGTTAAGATACAGCCTGAAGTCCTCTAGGTGAAGGTTGATAAGATAGTCGAATGGCGTGAATGTGAGATATTCTGGTGGCGGGCCGCTTGCCCAGTCGTCAATGAGGTCTATGAATAGAAAGATGTGTTCTCGGAGGATGAAGAGCTCAAGGCCACTGCTATTGATATCGAATTTCCAGGTGCGAGGGCCATTCCATTGAAGGGGATTTGAAAGATCACAAGAGAGCCGATTATCTACGGATTTCCACAAGAGGCCATGGTTGACACTTGTAGTGATCTCGATGTTTGGCAAATCAAGCTCCAGTGCATTTGAAAAGCCAGAAGGCCCTGCAACCATGTCCATGGTATATGCAACAGTGGCATTTGCCCCGATTTTGATATCAACCCAGCCAAATGGTCGAATTTCAGGGCCGGCACTGCCTTTGTCAGCTTTTCTCCTGCGACCTCTGATGCCACGATTCTTCTGATCCTCGCGTTGAGCGCCCATGGAATCTGCTTGTTTCGTCCATTTCCAATTCTTCGATTCTTCTTTCGTCGGAACCCGTAGAATAGTCTCGTCGTCAAATTCAATGTATAATTTGAATTCCGTCGGAACCCTGAACTGGCCTGGCATGAGGTTCTTTGCGGGTGTAGCATCTTTGCATAAACTTGGGAAAAAGACTCGTTGAATATCAGCGCGTTGTCTGTCAGCCCAAGGTCCGTAGTTAACAATCGCGCCCTTCAATGACAAATCCAGTCCCCATTCTGGTGGAGGATCTCCATTAATATTGCTCGAATCTTTGTCTCGCTTCATGTCCGCCTGTGCGGTTTGATCCGGGACAGTGCCTACCACGTCCCAATAGAAGCTCATATAGGCCTGAGGACTATCGAGGATTGTAGAAACTGTGGCATATTCGACTGAAGACCATCTAGCCTTGTCATCCTGCTCACCTTCATCAAGATACCGTGAAAGTCCTTGCCAGCTATTTTGCCCTGGCCTGGCTGGCGTCGAAGTCTCTGGTTGTTCTTCGGAACTTGAGATGGAGTCTACGGAGCTACGAAAAGCAGGTACGAAGTCTTGTAGTGCATGCCACGCTTTTCGACGTTGGCGATGCAAGAAAGTATGGCTGTGGGCATGATGTTCCTCTGGCTGGGGCTGATCAGCTTCTCCCAACTTGATACGAATTGCGGCAGCCGTTTGATCTTCCTTGTAATCGTCATTTGGCTTCATCTGAATTACAGGGTGCTCAAACTGAAAATTGATCAGCTGTCTGTATTGGTCCAGAGTCTTCGACTTTGTCCCATCTATTACTCCAGTAGCTCGTGTTGCTTTGGTAATAAGTACGCTCTTAGTATTCTCGTTTCCGAGAACAACGGCGGCCTTATTACATTCGATGTGAATTGGCAGGAATCGAAGAATAAATGCTCCCTCTTTCCCATTCCCATTCCCATGACCTTCACTAGTTTCCGTTTGAGAAGCCGAGGAGTCGTGCAATTTAGGGTCGGCCTCTGGCATCATGAAGCTGGCCTTTTCTGACCGGGAAGCATCTCGGTTTAGATCAACTGAATTTTTCCATGCGAACTCGTCGTCATCAGAAACTTTGGATCTTTTCCTCAATTTGCAAGCTGATTCTTGATGCCCACTTTGCTGGTTTGGGACCGCCTCCACATTCTCATCGTCGTCCTTCGTCATTGCCGCTACAACGGAGTCATATGCGGCACTTCTGTTATAGACGAACCATTCTACTCCATTCAATGAGAGATTGAGACGACAAGGAAGGTTGCCCTGGCCTTTCGCCCCCCTTCTTCCGCCCTTTCAACATTTTGATTTGGGTTCCTTCTGCCATCACTATCAGAGTCTGAAGACACACGTTTTCTCCCCACATCATCATCACGACCGACATTCAAGTCCCTGACGTTCCGTAGCCAGTAACACCAGGTAACAAATCCACTGTGAATCAAGATTGTCTCGTTGTTGCCGTGATATTTGACGCCTTTGAAGAAAACCCTCCCTCCCAGCAGAGATATTTGTAGAGCCTGAATATCAACGTAAACCCTGTATTTGTGCCATGTCCATGCTCGTAGACCGAAGGATACAAGGGTCGCAAAGAGCCGGTTCAAGTAGAAGAGGAAGAAGAGCGTTCTGCAAGGTGAGTTAGCTATGGGTATAATGTTTTGGAAGCTCTATTACTTACAGAATACCGCAGACAATCAACTCAACTAGGAACACCCTTTTAAAGAAGCTATGTTAGCTTGTGCTTCAAAACAACCTCGAAGAATAGATGGTCCTACCAGTTAAATCCTAGGTACGGCTTTAGAGGCAATCCTGCTAGGCCCCCGCTGGTCGCCATCTTCTCACCAGTCCAGTCTATTCAAATGCTATGGGACCTCGCCGCTCATGGCTAAGCTGTTGGAATAAGGACTCGCCATACGTCCAGAATTGGTTGCATAGAATGACAGCCAAGATTCCCAGCTCGCCCGATCGTTGCAGAAGGAGAAGGGGAGTAGTGTAGACTGACTGATGCTATGGGATTGAAGGTGACCAAGTCGAATTATCTTATGATTGTCTTTGTTTGCTTGTGATCGGCGTTGTCCATGGACGCGCGACCAGTCCAGCCCCAGCTACTTCTTGTACTGTACTGCACTTCTCCATCCATGCATGTGACCCCTGTCAAGGGAAATTCTGCCGCTTCACCCCGCCTTCATTCATGTCAACCTGGGCTTGATCTGTCTAACTTCCTTCATCACCAAATCTTGAGAACAACACCGGTTTCTTCCCCCTTCTCCTACGACCTGCTCGAAAAGCTATAGAGCTGTAGGCTGGAGACGGGATGCCATTCCATCTACTCGACACTTTTTAAAAGCGCTATTCGTCGCCCGGATTTGCATCTTATTCCATTTTCCAACGCGTCATCGCATTTCACTCTTCAACCGTAACTATGGCCGGGGGTCATCTTTCTGGTGGAACGGGTGAGAAGTTGACTCGGGCTACCATTATTGTAGCTGGCGTCGCTGCTTTGGTAGCATCTCTGCTCTCTATTGTGTTCGTATTCTAGAGTATCCCCCAAATCCAGGTCCATTTGCTGACTTACCAACAGGTCTGTCTGGCTTCAAACGTATACAATCCTTCGACCCTCGAATTTTTCACAGACTGATGAAAATGCAGAAAAAACTACCGAAAGCCGCTGCTTCAGAGATATGTGATACGGATATTGCTGATGTGGGTTTCATCTGTTGGCAGTTGGCAACGGCATGTTAATTCTCTCCAGGGTACCAATATATTCGATAGCATCATGGTCGAGTATCAAGTCTACAAAGGTTGCAATGTTTGTAGATCCTGTCCGCGATATCTATGAGGCAAGTACTCAGTTCCCCATCTCCAACCACAGCTGTTAACTGGAGCAGGCTTTCACAATTTATACCTTCTTTCAACTGCTGATCAACTTTATTGGAGGAGAACGGTCCTTGATTATTATGATGCATGGTCGAGAGCCAGTCAACCATTTATGGCCGCTAAATCACTGCCTTCCTCGAGTCGACATCTCCGACCCTTATTCTTTCTTGGCGATCAAACGAGGCATTCTCCAATATGCCTGGCTGAAGCCCGTGCTTGGCATTACAACGATTATTATGAAGGCTACGGGGACTTACAAGGAGGGCTATCTGGGCGTAGACTCCGGATACTTGTGGATGGGAATTCTCTACAATGTCAGCGTTACACTTAGTCTCTATTCTCTGGGAATGTTCTGGGTTATCATGTCAAAGGATCTCCAACCCTTTCGGCCTGTACCGAAGTTTTTATGTGTCAAGCTCATCATCTTTGCTTCGTATTGGCAAGGATTCCTCCTATCCATCCTGGTATGGCTAGGTGCGATACCCGACAACGTCGAAGGATACACGGCCGACAATTTGGCAGCAGCTATTCAAGACGCTTTGATCTGTATTGAGATGCCTATCTTCGCAGTTGCCCATTGGTATGCTTTCTCGTGGCACGACTATGCAGATGTCACAATTTCAGCAGCTAGAATGCCTGTTTGGTATGCTATCCGAGACGCTTTTGGGGTACGAGATCTCATCGAGGATACTAAAGAAACTTTCAGTGGGAACAAATACGAATATCGTCTTTTTGACTCAGGTGACAATGTTATTGCTCATGAAGGATCATCTTCACGTGTGGCACGAATGATGGATGGTATGCGCTACGAAAGAGGAGGAAAGGGCAAATACTGGATACCTAAACCCGGCGAGGCCACCGCGCGGACACCTTTACTCAGTGATGAGCCTGGTCGGTCTCGTAGCATGTCACCAAAGAAGGCCTTACAAGGCGATCCGGCATACGGCTATGGGAATGGCAGTGTGGATGAACAAGCTCTTGACCCAGAAGAGGAACGCCTTTACGAGAGAGCGAGAAGATTAGAGTATGGAGACTGGAATGTAAGTTTGCTACCTTTCTAGATCCCAGAGGCTCTGCTAATAGTCACAGTATCCTGTGATCACTGCACATGAAGCATCTCGAGAGAGGTGGCTCGCTGCATCACCTGGTTTATTAACAACCTCTGCGAACCGTAATTTGCTACAGCCAACTAGGGATAACCAAATTCGGCGAGAAAGCAACATTCGACAAACAGTTGAACATGTCAAGAAGAAGACCGAACGTAAACATAGCTCTACCAGTAAGGGCAAGGGGAGAAGCAGCTCAAAGGACGAGGAATCAGACAAGGCTACTGGAGAGGAAGGCAGAGCCCCGGCTATGTTGGGGATGCTACGACACCATTCTTCTGCGTCTAGCTCGGCGAAATCTGACAGAAGCCAGTTGGTTGATTTGGTCGTTGAAGATGAGACTGCTGAGGACGCAGAAAGAGTCCGTGCTCGAAAGGAAGGAGGCTCGTCTTGGAACAAAACCGAAAATAAGCGTTATGTGTAAGTATTTACCTTGGTCTAATGAATATGGCTAACACGTTGAACAGACGAACCTACGGTGAAGACACAGGTGAAGATATTCGCGAAGGCTTCGATCCCGTTGAGGACATTGCGGTAGTGGATAGAGAAGACAGTAACTTTGTTGTAGGCGAAGATGCGAATAGCGAGGAATCCGAGGAATCGCAGCAATGGAAGCAGGCGAAAGAGCCTGAATTACTGCTTAAACCTAAGTATGGTATCGAAGGGGAAGAATTTGAAAATGTTTGGGGGAGTGGTGGGGAGCATTCAAGCCCACCAAAAGAGAATCCCTGATTTTACAATAGATACCCTTCTGCACAAGATGATCTGAAGCATTGCGAGGGCGTTTACAGTTAGTTTTTGGGAATGGGCTTTTGAGGAATCATTTGAATTATAGCCTCAAATTTCACTAGTCGCAATGCAAACATTGCCAGACAACCAATGAAACATCTCGAGAGGATTTAAACCATTTGGGACACAAATACCAACCATATAGGTATACTTACCACAACCCGTATCGTGTCTTTATTTCACCCACTTGTATATAAATGCAATTTGTAAATGCAATATTAGGCAGTGGCTGACTTTTGTAATGCTTTCATCCAATCAAGTTTTAAATACCTCGTCACCTGACGGCGGGGTATTGAAAGGTGATTTGAGGTAGCGCTGCGCTGCAACCTGCTTGCCATCCTATGATGCTGCCGCCTCTTTTCAAGAACATCTACACAGAGTGCTTTTACCCTGATCCCACCACAACGAGAAATTTTATATATTCCATCTTTTCAACTCTCTTGGTCTTGCCTCGTCTCACTTTCCATCTGAGATAGTACGAGTCAGCACAACGCCAGTTACACCATGCCGCAGGACCTGGAACAAGAAAGAGAGAAGGATGATAAATCACCACCGATCACCCTCACAGAATCTCCCAACAGAATGACTTCCGGTTCACCCATCAGCCCTACAGTCAACGAGCCAGTTCTCCCGACACCTAGCCGGAATTTCACCATCATCCCTCCAGATCAGCAAGTCCACGTCGGAGCGCCGACCAACTTACACCCCTACACGCGGCCCCTCACCATCTCAGACCTGGAATCCTGCGTTGCACTCGAGAACGCCGCATTCACCAATCCAGATGAGCGGGCTACAAGAGAAAAGGTAAGAGTTCTGTCGCCGAGGCTCAGTTGGGAGTGAGCAGGTGCCGTGACAGACCCCTCTTCTCAGCCTTGGATTTCGCTACAAGATCGATCTAACAACATTCACAGTTCGCCTACCGCCTCAGCAAATGCGGAGAGCTATGTCTAGGCATCTTTTGCACTGTAGACCCAAAGACCGACTTTAAAGCGGAGACTTTGGCAACAGGCAAGCCCATCGAAACAAGCCGCAAGAATGGTGCTATCAGCGTCTTGCTCGGACATGTTATAGCAGTCAAAACCAATGATTCTCTTGCTACAGACGGGTCTATGGACTACCCCAAGGACTGGGACTCAGCCCATCCCCAACCTTCAACGGTGGGTCACCAGGAGGCTGGTAGGACCATTGTCATCCATTCAGTTGCTATCTTACCTGGCTTTCAGGAGAGGGGATTAGGTCAAACCTTGACAAAGGCGTATGTTCAGCAGATGAGTGGGGCAGGGATCGCTAATAAGTTGGCCTTGATTGCTCATGATGTGAGTTCAGTTTCGTCCGATTGTCTTTCCGCATACTAAACCACTTTAAGCACAAAACTCAATGGTACGAGAAGCTTGGCTTTGTTAATAAGGGGAAAAGTAAGGCGCAGTTTGGAGGTGGTGGATGGTTTGACTTGGTAAAATCACTTGCACCCCCAAGAACTGATGGCACCTAACTCTATCAAGGTGTTTGAGATGAAGGCACAGGACCCACGAACAAGATATGGCTGATTATTGCAAAGGAACTCTTTTGATACCCAGGGTCAAGTTTATTCGGACTTAATCTTTTTACAGGTAATCGGTCAAGTTAAGAATCAGTCTCATCGTTCTAAAGACCAAGAAGCCCGATGTTCTTTTACAATGTTTCTCTTACAGAGCGTCGTCTGTTTACCTTGGCCATATTATCATACAGGCTTCAGCTCATGAAATGAGCCAAGTTTCAGCCATTTCCTGCTGCCTTTCGACCAGTTGGCAGCCCCATGTCTTATAAGAATTGATCAATTATCCTTCCTCACGTATTTACCAGAGGCATAACCCATCTAATCACTAGCCTTGTACTTGGCCCTATACTCCTCCATCCGTTTCGCATCCTCTTCGCTCCCAATGCCCTTCAGTCCCCCAATAACATCATCCAGCGTCAAGATACTCAATATCGGGAACCCAAACTCCTTTCTCATCTCCCCAATCGCGCTCGGCATCGGCTTGCTGTCATCCCCATCCGGACTCGGCAGCTTCTCCATGCGATCCAACGCGACCAGTATCCCAACCACAATCCCCCCCTCCTTGCGAATCTTGACAATCGCTTCCCGCTTGGCCGTGCCCGCCGTGACCACATCATCCACAATCAAAACCCGCTTCCCTTTCAACGGCGCACCCACTATATTCCCCCCTTCGCCGTGGTCCTTGGCCTCCTTGCGATCAAACGCATACAGCACATTATCGTATTTCTCCGGCTGCAGATCCCCCAGTTTCTCCGCTGTGTGCGTCGCCAACGGGATGCCTTTATACGCCGGTCTACCCATAAATAATTATTCAATAAACATTCATTCATTCATTCATCTTTGTCTTATCTGCCCTTGATTCCGAGTGCGAGGGTATGGGTATGGGTAACTCACCCGTACACGATATCGAATTCGATAGAAGGGTTCTCGATGAGCGTCTTTGCATAGGCCGTTGACACTGCGCGGATCAGCTTGGCGCTGTAGAAATCCCCCGCGTTGAAGAAGTACGGCGAGATGCGCTTGGATTTCAGTTCGAAGCTGCCGAATTTGAGGACCCCGCCCTCGGTCGCTGCTTTGAGGAAGTCGGCTTTGTAGGGCGCGAGGGTTGTGGACGACATGTCGTAGAGTGTAGCGTGCAGATTGAAGGAATGACAGTCGTGTGTGAAAAAGAATAGATCCTCCTAAATAATGTGCCACTGGAATTGGAACATTCAAAAATCTCTATAGCCCCTCCAGCCCACCAAAAGTTAGGTGGGGCAGTCGCTAAAGATAAGATTGACTAGCGCCTTGGCGCCAAAAAATTCTCCAGCGTTATCAGAAATTTTGGCGAATTTGCCTTCAACTCCACCACATCAAACCGTTGCCCACCATGAAGACGACTTGGAAAGATATCCAACCTGTTCCGACATCTCAAGAGTTTCTTGATATTGTTCTAAGCAGAACACAGCGCCGCTTGCCAACTCAGATACGAAGTGGATTTCAAATCAGTCGAATTAGAAGTACAGTCGAATACTTTTGAACCAGGGAAAAAAAGCTAACAATAATAGATTTCTACACCAGAAAGGTCAAATTCACACAAGAGACGTTTACGGAGAAGCTCTCGCTCATCCTAGATGGGTTCCCCCGCCTCCAAGATATCCATCCTTTCCACAAAGATCTCCTCAATACCCTCTACGATGCCGACCATTTCCGAATCGCCCTTGGCCAACTGTCGACCGCGAAGCATTTGATTGAGATTGTGTCGAGAGATTATGTCCGCCTTCTCAAGTATGCGCAATCCCTCTTCCAATGCAAACAACTCAAGCGCGCGGCTTTGGGTCGTATGGCTACTATATGCCGAAGACTCAAAGACCCCCTCCTCTACCTCGACCAAGTGCGCCAGCATCTTGGCCGTCTCCCTTCGATCGACCCAAATACGAGAACACTTCTCATTTGCGGATATCCCAATGTTGGAAAATCGAGTTTTTTGAAGAGTGTTACAAGAGCGGATGTCGATGTTCAGCCATATGCTTTCACGACCAAGAGTTTATTTGTGGGCCATTTCGATTACAAGTATTTGCGATTCCAAGCCATTGATACACCCGGTATATTGGATCACCCTCTCGAAGAGATGAATACGATTGAAATGCAATCTATCACCGCTATTGCACATCTTCGATCGGCCATTCTATACTTCATGGATCTTTCAGAGCAGTGTGGATATACAGTTCAGGCACAAATGCAGCTGTTTCAAAGTATCAAGCCCCTGTTTGCAAACAAACTCGTGTTCATCGTTATCAACAAGATTGATGTTACCCGACCTGAAGACCTCGACGAGGAAACACAGGCGCAACTCCAAGCACTTCTCAAGCCCGGAGACGTCGAAATGCTTCAGCTCTCTTGCACGACCGAGGAAGGAGTCCAGGAAGTCAAAAACGCCGCATGCGAGCGATTGATCGCTGACCGCGTAGCCCAAAAGCTCAAGGCTGGCACAAACACTAGCGGAGCCGTTGGTGGCCGATTAGGAGATGTACTCACCCGAATCCACGTCGCCCGCCCAATGGGCGGCGTTGTTCGCGAAGCCTTCATCCCCGAAGCCGTCAAGAACCGCCAAAAATACGACAAGAACGACCCCATGCGCCCCAAGCTCGCCCGTGACATTGAAGAAGAGAACGGCGGCGCAGGCGTCTTCAACGTCGACCTGAAAGACCAATACCTCCTCGCCGACGACGCCTGGAAGCACGACAAGATCCCCGAGATCCTAGACGGCAAGAATATCGCCGACTTTGTCGACCCCGACATCGAAGCCAAGCTCGCAGCCCTGGAAGAGGAAGAAGAGAAGCTAGAAGCAGAAGGCTACTACGACTCGGACGATAGCATAGAAGACGCAGAGGACGCCGACATCCGCATGAAGGCCAGCCTGATCCGCGACAAACAAGCCCAGATCAAAAACACAGCCAAGATGAAGAAATCCCTCAAGAACCGCGCCATCATCCCCCGCTCGTCCACCCGCAAGAAGCTCACTGACATGGAAGACCACC